ACAAGTACCTGTGGCAAAGCTTCGAGGCTTCGAGAAGCAAGGCCTACACCGTCTGGGGGGTTACGAAAGCAAGGGAACCCCCAAAATAGACCCCCCAAATAGTAGGATGCCCTGATAATAAGGACCCCAATAGGGTACCCCGAATTTCGGAAACCCCCGTCTTGTAACTCACAGAGGTTCCAAGCCGGTCGCCGGACAATCCGCTTGCAGAGTTCGACCTGATCCCAGTCTTTCTCTTGATCGGCGATCTTCTTGGTCGCCTTGCGGGCTCATTCAAAGCAAGTGGGCATACCTTGAGTTGAGTTTACGTGAACCGAATATTGAGCTTGTCCAGGATAAGAAATAACGGCCGGGCTTCCAGCTTAAAGAACTTCAGTGTCATCTTTATAATGAGTCTGTGAGACAGCGGTTACGGCCAGGAAACTAGCTTGTGGACCAGGTGAAACAGATGATGACACAACCGCCAGCGATAACAGGGGCATGAATGGTGGTTTCGGTTGTTCCTTGTCAATCAATCTCTAGTTCACATGTCCTGTTAATGGTGGTACTAAAGGCCGGGTAACAAGGGTGTGAGCTGTAGAGTCACGAGGGTATGAGCGGTCACATGTCATGCTGTTGGTATCACGAGCGGTTGAATGTTGAGTCTAATAATGTGGGTCTCAAGGTGTGATGGGTGAACAGACAAGGGATACTAAGGTAGAAAGACTCATGATGGTACGGTTTCTAAGGAGTGAGGAGTGCGTTAACCTGGTCTCAAGGTGTGATGGGTGCTCTCTTCACAGTCTTTAACAGGGTCTCAAGGTGTGATGGGTGAATCTAATAAGAGCCGGAGAGAGAACAATATGATTAAGGGCTCCAAGTTCCGGGATGATACGGCCTTTAAGGGGTGATTCAGAGAGCGTAGAGTCAATACCAGGTTGATCGAAAGGTTGGGTCTCAAGGGCGGATTCATCACTCAGCGGTTGTTCCTTGTCAATCAATCTCTAGACCGTGTTAATAGTGTCCCGAGGGTGGGCTCTTAGTGGCTTGGAAACAGAGGTTGGGTCTCAAGGTGATTCAGAGAGCGGTTAACCTTTCCCACGTTCTATCATTACCAGGCTCATCCTTGTCATCGGGACGCTAACCAACATTCCAAGGTCCCTAATATTAATATCATAAGATTTTTGTTTTGGCAAAACGCGTGGCCGTGACGCAGGTGCTTCTGGTAAGGTTTTTGTCGTGGCAAAATGCGTGGCGGTGACGGTTGTTGTCTTGGCAAAACGCGTCGCCGCTTGTTTGTGGTAAGGTTATTGTCTTGGAAAAAGGCGTGGCGGTGACACAGGTGCTTGTGGTAAGGTTTTTGTCTTGGCAAAACCACGTCGTGGCGGTGACGCAGGTGCTTGTGGGAAGGTTCGGCAAATTCGTGGCGGTGACGCAGGGGCTTGTGGTAAGGTTTTTGTCTTGTCAAAACGCTTGGCGGTGACGCAGGTGCTTTTGGTAAGGTTTTTGTCTTGGCAAAACGCGTGGCGGTGACGCAAGTGCTTGTGGTAAGGTTTTTGTCTGGGCAAAATGCGTCGCCGCTTGATTGTCGTAAGGTTTTTGTCTTGGAAAAAGGCGTGGCGGTGACGCAGGTGCTTGTGGTAAGGTTTTTGTCTTGGCAAAACCACGTCGTGGCGGTGACGCAGGTGCTTGTGGTAAGGTTTTAGAACGCATGGCGGTGACGCAGGTGCTTGTGGTAAGGTTTTGTCTTGGAAAAACGCATGGCGGTGACGCAGGTGCTTGTGGTCGTGGCGGTGACGCAGGTACTTGTAGCAAGGTTGTTGTCTTGGCAAAACGTGTGGCGGTGACGCAGGTGCTTCTGGTAAGGTTTTGGTCTTGGCGTTATGCAAAACGCGTGGCAGTGACGCAGGTGCTTGCGGCATAAGGTTTTGGTCTTGGCAAAAGGCGTGGCGGTGACGCAGGTGCTTGTGGTAAATGATTTGTTTGTCTTAGCAAAACGCGTGGCAGTGACGCAGGTGCTTGTGGTAAGGTTCTTGCTTTGGCAAAACGTGTGGCGGTGACGCAGGCTGTTCTGGTATGCCTTGGCAAAGCGCGTGGCGGTGACGCAGGTGCTTGTGGTAAGGTCTTTGTCTTGGCAAGACGCGTGGAGGTATGTGGAGGTGACACAGGTGCTTGTGGTAAGGTTTTAGGTGCTTGTGGTAGGGTTTAAAAAATATCTTGAAAAAAGTGCGTGGCGGTGACGCAGGTGCGCCTGGTAAGGTTTTTCTAGCAACCATTCCCCCCCCCTCCCCAATCCCCAACGAGGTGGTTCTGGGTACTGCAACCCCCCCCCTAACCACCCCGATATGATTCTGGGCAAACCCCCCCCCACTGCCGGAGCATATTCCGTTAGCAACCATTCCCCCCCCCCCCCCCACCCCCCCGCTTACCCTCCACGTGGCGCTGGGCAACCACTGGCGAAGCACGCAGCGCACTCAACTAGCCACCATTTTCCTCCCTAACCCCCCCGCGAAGTGGTTCTGGGTAACCCCCCTGGCGAAGCACGGAGCGTACCCAACTGGCAACCGCTTTCCCCCCTAACCCCCCCCCGAGGGGGTGGTTCTGGGTAACCCTAACCATCCGTAACCCTCCACTGGTGAAGCACGGAGCATACTCAACTAGCAACCATGTCCTCCCCCTAACCTGTTACGAGGTGGTTCTGGGTAAGCCCTCCTCTACTGGCGAAGAAAACTTCTTTCCTCCCCTAATGGGTTCGGCCGTAATGCGCCTCAAGCGTCTGAAATGAAAGTACTCCAGGCCCAATTTCAGACCCCCTTGAAATAGCCCCCAGTGTACCCATTCCAGTCCCCCCGCAAACTGAGGGTATGGGATTTTTGGATTAGGGGTGAGGGTTGTCGGGGGGTTCGGGTCCGCCGGCCCGGATGGGAAGACGCGCTGCACACGCGGGGGGCGTGGGGGAGTCCCCAGGCAGCTTTCCACAGAGGCATGGAACCGGCGCCGCGTGAACTCAGGGACCACAGGGCCCGTTGAGCGATTCTGAGGGTTAATTTGGGTCGAACGTGTTGAACCTCCTGGGAAGCTCTGAAATGCCTTCTGGGGAACACCTGGAGAGACCCCCGGCAATCAACTCCCCCCTCCAGAGTCTTCCGGGAAGGTATCTGCGAACTAAAGCTCTGCGAAGCTTCATGGCTTGGGGGTGGACTGCCTGCGGATTCCCTGCACATGGGGTGCCTTCTAGGGACCGCCTGGATACTTCGTTCGGGCAGCAGTGACATTTCCGCACTAGAATTCTGCTGTTTTTTCAGGCCGCCCCGCGCCGACCCGGATGCCGGTGATGCTGACAATGACAACTTTGGCTATACACAGTGGCGAAGCAATGGAGCAGGAAGCAGCAGCAGCGCCGCTGGCTCTGAGAAGTGGAGCACGGAGCACGGCACCGGAGCAACAGAGCGCTTCACCAGAGCAATGGAGCAACGGAGCGGACGCGCGCCGTTGCGGCGCCGACGCCCCTGCGCGGAGCAACGGAGCACGGAGCAAAGCAACAACCCGTATCCAGCAGAGAGCGGGGCACGGAGCAACGGAGCAACGGAGCGACGGAGCGACGGAGCGACGGAGCAGCGGAGCAACGGACCGGAGTCGCGCCAATGGGGGGGACGGGGACGCCAGGGAGCAACGGAGCAACGGAGCGAAGCAGTTTAGCAGACGCGGATTGCACCTCCAATGAAACTTTTCGGAAGGAAAAGCAACCCGAAACGAAATCGAAACGCATGATCACTTTTCAGAGGACCATCCTGTAAACAATAAGCCCGACCCGTTTAATAGTTCAGGCCTCGGTTTGGATCGTCGTACCGAAGCTCCTCTTTATGGCCTGAAGCAATGCCGCGAAGCCACTGCAAAGTCTCAGCCCCACCCTGTCCCTCATGGCCTGCAGTAGAAGCACTGTCTCTCTGGCAGTGCGTGTCAGAAGCCAAGCTCTTCCGTTTTGGCCCACGCAGAGCTCATGAAGTCCTGAATGCACCAGAGCTTACGCCGTGCAACAACCTGAGTAGCCTTAGAACGGATTATACTCCCGTGGATTAAGCAATGTCGAGGTCCTTGCCAGCCTCGCCAAGCCGATCAAGGATGAAGCAGTCGAGAGCTGCCGTCACGCAGATTTATGCACTCACGCACTCCACGCCACCTCCCACTAAGCTCTCAGTCCACGAATCATTGCAACCTCACTTGCAGGTCTGACCTAGAAGACGCTGCGCTGCAATCAGAGCCGCCTGCAAGAAGCGCCGCGCACAGCAGAGAAACTCCTCCCATGACCCTATAATCTGCACCTGTGTCCCAGCCTACAGCTGCATTACATGGCACGCAGCATGCAAACCATAATCATATAGAAGAGGTGGGAGTACATGATCTCTTCCCTCTGGTGTCAAGCACCCCCAGCGCACAATGCTAAAAATGAAATGAAAAAGGCAAAGAGTGCAAAAGCACAAAGCGCAACAAGAAACCAGAAACAACATTAAAAACAAAAAACAAAACGCACAAGCTTCGAGCGAGAGCTCAACGACTTGGCATTTTTTGCATTTGCTTTGCGTTTTGCGGGTCGTTCCAAATCGCTTGTGCGTTCTTTCTGCATTTCGGGAATCCACTCCCCCTGCATCTCCCCCCCTCCCCCTCACAGGATTAAGCTGCCCAAGCCCCTCCCTCTCTGGCGGACAGGGCAGGGTCATGATCTCAGGCGCAGATCCAATCCTGTATGATGTTCAGGGCAGGGCACACCGAGAGCGCAACCAAAACTATCAACAGAATGCCAGCCATCCAAGAGAAACGACCATGCAAGAAACAAAAAACGAAACGACAAGCAAAATGCCAAGCATCCAAGAAATTCAAAAACACAAATAAAGTCATCACACCGGCAAAGCCTCAGCTTCCGTGGTTTTCTGGTTGTGGCGAAACTTTGGCTCAAGAAAGCTCGCAAACATCATGGGAATCAAAGGACACGAAAGGACATCACGAGACTGCAGCGCAATGCTTCACACGTCTTCACACCCAAGGGGCCGCTGCTCCAGCACGCGCTTCTCAGCACGGAGGGCTGCAACCAGCACCGTCAACTCGTTGTTTTGGGCCTCGACTTGCTGCAGCCATTGCTGCTGCTCCAGGTTCTTCTGGCACGCGCCCTCATACCTGAGGCTGACATCGACGCTACTACCGCTACTACTTGCACGTGCAACCCCCCCTTACCCCTACTGTACAATCCCAACACCAGCAACGTGTGGGATGTAGTCGCCACTCGTATCACTCGTGACGAGGCTTCGCATGGAGAGCAAAGTGTAACGGCAGAACAGAAGGGCAAAGAGATCCCAAAGTCCGTGTGTGGCTATTCTGGTCGTCTCTGCTGTCTCTGCTGGTTGACGTCAGAGCTCACACTTGGCTTCCTAACATTTCCTAACTATTCAAAGATGCAACGGTCTAAATTTCTCGGGGGTTTGCTGTAGCAACGCAGAAATGCAAGAACGTCTGCGTTTGTCTTCCTTTTAGTTTATGCCGAGGCGCGCAAGCGATTGCCACCACAGCTGCCACTCCACCTGCGAGCACCTCGGATGGGAAAGTTAGCACACGTCTGGCACACGTCCTGACGCGCTGCCCAGGTTTGCCAGCAATTCCCTACCGCGTTGCAGGCGACAATTCAGCTATGGAAGCGCCCTCAAGACTCACGGGTAGCCGGGCTCGCGCCGATTGGCCGAGTGACTGGCGCGCATTGGCACCAGGCGCCAAGCTGGGGGGAGCGAAGGTGTGCCTTGGCATCTTGCCCAGTGCTGACTTGGTGACGTGAATCTTGCCTTTGCAGCCTGATTAGCAGTTAAGGCCGACCGAGGCGGCATGGCCCAGCTCATGCCAAACTTATGAGTCTTGCTACAAGTACCTCCAAACTCCACTCTAAGCTTCCAAGTCCTCCGAGCCTTGCTGCCTCCAATGCCCAAGCCGACTGCCGCCGTGTCCGAGCGACCAACGGCGCGAGAGATATGAGAGATGTATGTGCTACCGGGCTGCGTGCTCATCATCTCCTGGCTGCACTGCGAAAGATTGCTGCAAGGCGTGCCGTCATCCTCCACCTGCATGGACCCGCAGCTTTCCCTGCTTGGCCATACGATGCTATACGACTACACGCGTGGATAGACGTGGAGCATGGATTTTGGGTGTTGCAATTCAGGGGCCTTTCTAATCACGGACGTGAACCCTGCCTCGGAAGGCGGCGATTGCACTTCCGCAATGTCAGGGATGCTCGAGATACTCGGCCGACTCGACCCTGTCGTGTCCGCAGTGCTCACGTCGCTGTCGCGCTGGCGACTTCGCCTTTCGAGCCGCGCGTTCGGAGACCTCAAGGCGAAGCTGGCGAAGCGATGCGTGGCAGGTTCCGCTACAGCATGAGACTTGTCGCACAGGCACAGACACAGCGCCTCCGGAAAGCCCGACCCATCCCGCCCGTCCAATTGAACAACCAGTCGGAGAAGATAGTGAGACAGTACCAAGACCAAAACAGCAGCGAGCCCGCCCTTAGCACTTTCGGCCCGAGCTGCTTCTCGCACGCGTCACCAGGCGACTTTGACCTGAAAAAGCACGGGACGCCAGGTGATGCAACGCGGCAGCGGACAGACGACTGAGTGATTTTGGGCAAGCCGCCTTGGCGTGGTGAGCTTTTCCAGAGGCGTATCAAAGATAGACCTCGCACGTCTGTCATTGGCAGCTCGACTCAGCAGAGGGGCATCACCACACCACCGGGCTGTTGCCACACGGAGGACATATCAGTGCTAGCCAGAGCGCGTGCAGGAAGATTTCACCACCGGAAGGGAGGCAGAAGTATCTTTGGAAGATGCAGTCAAGGCACGGTACGTGGTTGTCCAGACCCACGACGCCCACCATGGCCGAGGCAGAAAGGCCGCAACGCGACAGTCCAATCGAACAAATACACCCGGCGTGCTTTGTGGCAATGTTGTAACGATCAGATGCGATCAGCAGACCTTCACGTTGCCTGCAAATAACACATGTACAGTCGTGAGTCATGAGCTTCTTATACATCTGATAAGAATATACAGTACAGTATCTGTGAAGAGTCGATGATTCGACGACTTCAAGCTCGGTAGAAAGGTTGCAAGCGATGCAACAACATGCAACAACGATGCAGACGATACTTAGCACGACAAGGCCACTGCAATCACGACTCATCCCGTAGACTCGATAAACCTGTGCCCAAGGGCTGATACCCGTCACCACGATACCGTTTTCGGTCAGAGGTGCACCTGCTCGTTCCACAACACACAGGCTTTTTTCGACGGGACGCGCCGCACGCCGCAACACGCAGCTCCAGCGATCATCTTCTTTGGATCCCGGAGTGCTCAGAGCAGGCAGAGCAAGCTCTCCAAGGACAGCTGCTGTCCTGGAAACACAAGGCTAAATCATCATTTCTCAAGCGAGAACAGGTTGGCAACATCGTTGGATGGCAGCTGAACGCAGGTTGACTGAACAAAAGCAAGCAGCTGAAAATCTAGCATCTCAAGCCATGTCACGCAGACCTGCAACCATGCACTCGAAGCTGACATGAACCGCTCTCAAGCAATAAGCCCCGACCCATTTGCCAGTTCAGGCCTCGATTTGAATTGTCGTCATACCGAAGCTCCTCTTTGTGGCCTGAAGCAATGCCGCGCAGCCACTGCAAAGTCTCAGCCCCACTCTGCCCCCCTTGGCCTGCAGTAGCAGCACTGTCAGCACTTCTCTCTGGCAGTGCGTGCCAGAAGCCACACTCTTCCATTTTGGCCCACGCAGAGCTCATAAGAGAAGTCCTGAATGCCCAGAGCCTACGCCAGGCAACAACTGAGTAGCCTTAGCAAGGTCCTTGCCAAGCCGATCAAGGATGAAGCAGTCGATAGCTGCCACCACGTAGATTTGTACACTCACGCACTCCAAGCCACCTCCTACTAAGCTCTCAGTTCACGAAGCACTGCAACCTCACTTGCAGGTCTGACCTGGAAGACGCTGCGCTGCAGTCAGAGCCGCCTGCAAGAAGCGCCGCGCACAGCAGAGAAACTCCTCCCGTGACCCTATCATCTGCGCCTGTGTCCCAGCCTACCACTGCTTTACATGGCATGCAGCATGAAAACCCATACATATAGAAGAGGTGGGAATACATGATCTCTTCCCTCTGGTATCAAACACCCCAAATACAAACAGAGCCTCTGCCCCTTCCGGCCTGAAAGGGTTTTAACAGTACGTACGAGAATCTCTGCAGGCTACACGTGCAATTGCCAATTGCAGCCCGGCATATATGGGTTTACATTTTGGGGGCGTTGGCTGCTTGCATTCTTGTTGCCTATGGCTGGGACTGGCGGGTAGTGGCGGGTAGTGGCGGGTAGTGGTGAGAATGGTGATGGTGGGTGATGGGTAACGGGTGGGGTTGGTGGGTAATGGGCCATGGTGGGAATGGTGGGAGGTGGTAGGAAATGGCTGGTACTGGCGGGAAAGGTAGGAATGTCGAGTAGAAGGGGAATGACGGCGAATGATGGGGCATGATGGGGAATGATGGGGAATGTCGGAATGACAGGGAAGGATGGGGAATAATGGGTCATGGCCAGACTGACGGCAATAATAGTGGGACGTGGCCGGGAGGGGGGAGCCCGAGGCGGAGCGCGCTAGCGATAATGGGAACTCGTTGACACACTTTGCTGCAGCAAGCTCAGATCCTGGACGCGACAGTTCACAAAGACAAAGCTGCAATGGTTGCTGGGCGCGCTGCCTTAACTCTTCCTCCGCCACCTCAGGGCGTCGGCTTGCGTCCAATTGGCTGAGAGGGTTTCCGGCGCTTTCTATCACAAAGGGATGCAAGATGTGGTGTCCGGATCACTCGCACGTGTCTTTCAATATTCTAGATGGCAGCGGCCAACCACGCCCACCCCCCACCCCCCACCCCTCTGAAGAAACAAAATGACGAGACAGGGTTGAAGTTTGAGAGGTTGCGTTTAGGCGAGGCAAACTACTACGGCAGGTTGTGGTGTCAAGGCTAAAGTATACATTGCATCGAATAGAACACACGTATTCAACTTGATAATTTGGGAATTAGAACGAGCTTGGCCTGGTTAAGCTGGGTTCAATTCATTGTGCTGGATGATTGCCAAGCTTAAGCCAAAAGGCCAAAGCCTGCCAAACTCTCCACGTTCAAGCATATTCATGCACTCTGTGTTATACGGTCAGCTCTCTGAGAGTTGATGGTGGTTTCTTTTAGGATATCCTCCTGTACATACTGTGTGTCGTGCCAGAAGAGCGACTCAGCAAAAGGCTGACCGCACTGGCGGTGGACGTAGAAGAGCTCGCAGCAGCACAAGAAAAAGCAGCGTGTTGCGCGCTAAGGCCAGGTCCTTGACCTCCACGGCCTCCGGCAAGACCGATCCTTGGTGGATCATGCGGGTCACCGATCCTCAATCATGTGATGAGTTCGGAGCGGCAAGTTCCCCGCGAAGATTGCCCGACGATGCATCATCACCCAGCATGGCAAGAGTCTCGCAGAGTCTCACAAAGCACACGTCACAGACTTCGGCAGCAACATGTAGCAATTTTATTTAATTGAGGCTCACGAGACAGCTCATGAAGTTGCCTCCTCAAGTTCGGTGAGCATCCACTCCGTGTAGGCCTGGCCATATGAACACTGGGCCCGGATAAGCCTGCATGGGCCCGTTGAGATTCACAACATTTGACAACCGAGGTCGCTGACGTCCGACCAATTCTGTAGCGAAACTGTAACGACTGGGCAACTCTGTAGCGACTGGAGCCTGAGGGAAGATGCTGGCCAGCTGGCGCCCTGCAGCTGGGAACAGCTCGTGGAAAGAATTCACGCTCCTGCAAAGCCAGTTGCTTCGAGGTTGCGTAAAGAGGAGCCCCAAACAAAACCCCATCACCAAGCAATGGCCAGCCTTGGCCTCCAGCATGCCGTCCCTTGCTTTGGGCTTTTGGAGACAGCAAATCTCGTGCCACGGTGTGTCACATCACGGCCGACCTATCCCACATATCGCTACGCACTTCCTTCTACAATTCTACAAGATCTCTCAAGCTCCAGCCTGAGTCTTCCCGAATCGAAGTCTACGGTTGCCAGCTGACGCTCCAGGACACAAAGCCTCACACAGGCGGAACATGGTGGAACGCAAATCAACTTTGTGATGTGGAAAGTGCTGCTAGGCCTGAAGCCAACTTTCTCAAGTTCGCTCCTGTCGACGTTGCGCTCCTTGGCCTTAGCCTGAATACCCAAAGCGACTGCTGCCTCTTCGAGACGCTGACGGGCAGTGACGGAGTATGATGGCATCCAGGCACTGACGTTTTGCAGGCATTGGCGCAGCTTGCCGACGTTGGTGCCATCTGCGGCCGCGCCTCGACTAGGGCAAAAAAAGCACAAAGTCGGATTTCTGCAGACTCGAGCTTTCCCAATCGACTTCTCCATGCACGAAGCGATACAATTCGCATGTGGATCAATTACTTCTCGGCGGATCCACATTGGGGATCAATGTTTGCCCTGGGTCTTGGGGGTCTTGAGGCTTTAGGTTCCCTCTTAAGTTCGGAGTCGGGTCGGAATCTTGTGGTTGCTATTGGATTTGCGTTTCAGGGCTATTGCTATCACTGATGGCCACCGCGTCGGTCCCCTGAAGTCAGACGTTTTAGACTAAAACACTGACGTCGCAACAGTGTCGTTTGACATAGCAAAATCGCCAGCAAATCAACAACGAGACGCAACAAATTTAAAGACAACAAACAAAACACATGCAAATCAACAACGAAAAAGCAGCAAAGATAATTATGCCAGCGAAGACCCCAAACAGTAAGACTTTGGAGAAAGATAAAATTTGACAGGCGTTTAGGGTTACCCTAAACTTCAGTGTCGGCCCCTTAATAGGGAGTCAGAACCCAAAGGCATAGACATGATTCATGCATTTCTTGGCCTGCAAAAAAAAAGGAGTTATCTGACGGTTGCACTTTCAGTCAGAACACTGAAGAAGTAAAAACATGTCTATCAGAGGTTTGTCGTATGCCCCCTCCCTCTGTGCTCAGAAGGTTTGGTGAGGGCCCTGGATTTTTGTCGCATGTCCCCTCCCTGCGTGCTCGTAAGGTGAGGGCCCCTCGAGGTAGGCCTGAAAGTCGAAAAACCAAAAAGGCCCAGTGTGCGGGTTTCAGAGAGGCGTCTTGGTTGGTCCTTGTGTTCGCGAAAAGACTGAGCGCGTTCAACTAGAATTCTGCTTTTTGGGGGGTACGCAAACAGCACCCAAGTTTTGGGGACCGAGCGTGCTCAACTAGCATCCTGCGTTTTGGGGGCCGAGTGTACTCAATTAGCACCCAAGCTTTGGGATTCAGAACACTGTTAAAGTAAAACATGTCCCTTGGAGGCTTGTCGTGTCCCCTCCCTTTGTGCTCGGAAGGCATCGTAAGCATTTAGCACCCCATCTGCGCCTTGATGACCAAATAACTCGCGCCATGGCACGAGCGATTTGGTCAACACAAGTTTTCAAGGCTGGTCGCGGGGGCATATTTACAACCCTTATAGCCCCCCAAAATCACGTTACCAGCACAAGTTTTTCGGTTTCAGCAGCTAGCACCCCACTTGCGCCCTGATGACCAAATAGCTCGCGCCAGAGCTCCCCCCTCTCCCCCATACAATGGCCAACTTGCAAGGAGAAGTTTGCCGCGCGAGGCTCCGAGGCGGTTTTTGCTTCTTTGTAACCTTTCTATTTCCCAAATGCCGGAAACCAATCCGCGCACGATTTCTCGATGTTTTCCATGGTCGGCGCTTGTGTCTTCGATTGCCACAAGTAAAACACTGGGGGTCCGCACAGGTCCGCTCCCATTATTTACCCAACTCTGCTTGCTTTGCGAAAGGGTTCTAGAACATA